TCTTATGATAAAACTTTTACAGTAGATAGAATACACAGTTGGGAAATAATATATTTTAAATACAGGTTAAATAGAAATGTTAATGACAAAGATTGATCAAAATGTGTTTTTGGAAATTGGGCTTTACTTAAATAGCAATTATTCTCCACAATGACTGAATTGCATCATTTGTGTGCAATATTCCTAGTTATTTTCTAGGTCTAAGAGAAAGATTGGCCCATATTGTGGTATTGATAAATGATCAGTTCATTTTGGTTTAGTTAACTTCACTTTAATTTCTTCTGTGAACATTTCTTGAGCATGAGTTCAGAGAATACAGACAGAAATAAGGCTCAGACATTATTCCCAGGCAGCTCAAAATGTATACTTCAACATGATGCATTTTGACTAGAATGCATGAATACGCTTGACTAGAGTAGAAGGGATTTTTGAACTTGCTCTTGAATACATACAGGATTTTATGATGCCAGCAAATATTAGACTCTAAGTTACTCCATAGAAAAGGCAGCAGGAACAAAGTCAAAGAGCTCAGGGGGAAGATGAGAAATGTTAGGTTAAGGAAAGCGGATGTAGATTTTAGATAGTCTAAGCCATTGTCTCTTTCATGTCTAGAAAGACAGTTTACTGTAATGGAGTGGATTCCTAGACTAGGGATACAAAAGAGAAACATGTTGACAAGATATAGGACAAGTTTTAGTGAGAATTGCCAGACTGGAGACAGGCTACATTAGGTTTGCCATGAGGGAGATTCTCAAAAATGCAGAGATCATTATAGCTTCCCACCACAGTTAACATTGACTTGGAGTCAATTGCTAAAGACAGCATCAATAAACTGTGGCCCAAGGACCAAAACTGACTCATCACTTGTTTTTATATGGTGCTGGAGCTAAAAATGACATTAATATGTTAAAATTGTTGAAAACAAATAGAAATACTTCATAAAAGAGGTATTATAGGAAATTATTAGAAATTTCAGTGCACAGAAATAATATTTCATTGGAAGAAAATCATGCTCATTAGTTTATGTATTGTCTATAGCTGCTTTTGTACTACAGTGGCGGAGTTGAGTTATAGCCACTTACAATCTATAGCCCAGACAACCTAAAATAGTCATCATCTGGACCTTTACAGAAAAGCTTGCTGAATTCTGGCTTACTAGCTGATAATACTGTTTAGGAGCCACTAACTTTATAAATATTGTGAACACATTTGTTTAAAACATCTCAGCTAGACTGAGCTGGTGAAACATGGGAACATGGGGACTGAGAGCATCAGTGTTGGTTACCATTAGGAAGAATAAGCAGAGTTCAAGATCCACTATTGGTCAGCACTTGGTGGTGGTGTTGTGAAGAGGCTTGTCTGGTAAATTTTTCTTTGAAACACCAAGTCTTGACTTGTCATTTTCCAGTGCTTGCCATTAGCTTTACTTGCATTAGTACCCCTTTTCCCCTTGTCTTTTTGTTGTTGCTGTTGCTTTTCTTTTTTAGCACTATTCTAAAAATGACACATTAATAAGTGATAATAATAATGCAGCTCTAAACATATTCCTTGTTTTCTGGCAATTTGGGGCTAAGAAAACAAAAGCATACCTTAACTGCTATATTCATTTGACTTGTCACTAATTATGCATGTCCTCAGATTGAAAAAAAATCATAGAAAGAAAACAATTTGATATGACTAAAGCTATTAAAATTCAGTCATGGTTTTAGATGAAGAGGTGCACATAAGTTTCAACAGATGAAAATAATGACTACACAAGTGTTTATGTATATTCAGGAAGAGGTTAATTATACAAATGTCTGTTGATATGTAAAATAAATTTATTCCTTCACTTTACTATTTTTTTTGAGCATACTTTCTTCCACATCTAATTTGGAGGAATTCAGTATTGAGTCACTTACTGAGAAAATAAAAAAGTAATTAAGGAATAGGGTCAATTATATCTTAAAAAAACTAAAAAAAATAAGATGAATCAGTTTGAAAAACAATGCTATACAGACTGGGAAAAGAGGAAATAATGTTTCAATTGACAAACATCTTGGTAATGTGGTCATTACCACTGTTACTAATAATAAAAATAATGATGATAGTAATTATCATCCTTGTTATTTGTACAATGATTTTTCCACTTGGGAGCTCAAAGCACTAAACCGCCTTATCATTTTTATCTCTACTTAGTTCATTAGGTTAGTGGGGGTCTCGACTTTTTAACCTTGTTTTTCATATGAAGATATTAAGACAGATAGTTGAATCTGTGGATACAAGACTATACAATAAATGAGTTGCTGGCAGGGCTCAGAAATATAATCTCTTAATTATTTATTCAAAGTATTTTTGACTGGATTCTCTTTCTTCTTTGTCCTGTGTTATCCCTTTTGTCTTCTAGCTACCAAGGAGAGCATATCACTAAAATAGTTGTGAGTAATGTGGGAAGGCTGGGTTCAGAAAAGGATTCACAATGGTACCTTGGACACTGCAGTGATGTGCATTCAATGAAAATACATGTATAATCTTCCTTAGTTTTGTTTTTCATATTTAAAGAATATCTTATGTCTCTCCTTTTTTTTAATTCAAAAACCATAATGTTTGTTCTTAAAAAATCCACCATAAAACAAACAAAACCATAAATTAAAATTTATTCTTATTTGTTATTCTGCTTCTTACTGATAATAATTTGTTATGCCTTCCATATATTTTGTTATGCACACACATATATAGTTTTATTATTTATAAAAACTGAAACATGGAATGCATATTATTCTATAACTTTTTATTTTAATTTTTTTTTTTTGAGATGGAATCTTGCTCTGTGGCCCAGACTAAAGTACAGTAGTGTGATCTCAGCTCACTGTAACCTCTGCCTCCTGGGTTCAAGTGATTTTTCTACCTCAGCCTCCTTAGTAGCTGGGATTGCAGGCACACACCACCTCACCCGGCTAATTTTTGTATTTTTAGTAGAGACAGAGTTTCACCATGCTGGTAAGGCTGATCTTGAACTCCTGACCTCAGGTGATCCACCAGCCTCGGCCTCCCAAATTGCTGGGATTACAAGTGTGAGCCACCGTGCCCAGCCTTATTCTATAACTTTTTAAATTAAAATGTATCATTAACTTTTTAATGTTAATACACGAAACCTACTTCATCAATAGAATGACTGCACTATTTACATTTTTGTCTTAAAACTTACTGTAGAACAAATAGAACTTGTCTAATATTTCACAATTCTGCATAACAGTTGTATGCTTTTGATAATTTCATAATGTTTTCTACAAGCACACATTCATTTTCTTCATCTGACATGTTTTGATATTAGTTGAGAAACCGTTCCCTCCCCGTATTTCCCCCAAAGTTTTGCATACGTCAGTTACATGCATCTCCTTTCTTCTGCAACAGGTGAATAGCAAGTATTCAGGGATGATGGAGCAAGAATCAGTTTTGGATTTTTTTTTGGCACAGTTGCACATAAAAAGTAATCTCATTGTGGAGAAGTCTTTTTTATATTGCAGTAATTGCCACCGTAGGAACAGGTGTTTGGAATTCTACTCAAGGGAAAACTGGAGATGGGAAAGGTTGAGGAGAGTAAGACAAAGCTTCCCTGGTTATGGCCCATGGAAAATCACAGTAACAAGAGAGGAGACCAAGCAGAGTCCCTGAAGCCTTCCACTACATCTCAGTGCCTTCCCCAAGGACAGGATTGTATAGTGATAACACCACTGACTTCTGTGCCAATGCTCTCTATTTTGTGTCCAGTCCAAGCCAGGATGTAATGATGGTGTGGCAGGGGCCCATATGATAACATCATCACTTTCTGATCCTCTATCACCAGGAAACAGAATGTTCTTGATTTCTGTAAAGAAAAAGTATTTATTGTGAAATCCTTTGCTGTTTACACATTCCATGATCTAATTCACATTTATGGCTATCCTGACCCTTACTGACAGATGGAGAAATTGAGCTCAGAGTTTAAATGATTTGTCTAAGATGGAGATCTGTTAACAAAAGGGCTGGACTTAGAATCCTCCTTATTTTGATTCAACACCCAGTACTCTTCCAGGAGAATATCACATTTTCCTCACGTCCTGCTGTAGTAGACAATTAGCACTCTAGAAAAAAAAGTATAGCACATGCTGGCATGGTAAATGCCTCAAGAAATACAAAATAACAGTATCATATTCAAACTCCTTGGTCATTTCTGACTTATTTCACATTTCTGGCTTTAGAGTTTGCTTGTCAAATATAACCCAAGGGGACAGCAAATTTACCAAGCAAACAAAAATCACATGGATCAATGTTTTTCAGTAATATGTATTTTTGAAGGCAGAACAAATGGAAGAAGTTGAGGGAATCTCATGCAAAAAAAATTTCCTGTAGCATCATTGAGGCTTAGAGGTAAATCTTAGCTCAAAACCTCAGGTTCTTCAGGAGGGGCCTCTGGTTGTCTCTTCTACATGGCCTCAAAGTTTCATTTGGAAATAGATCAGAAAATTAGAGGAAGAGAATTAGCAACTTTATCTGAAATCTGGTATGCTTCAAGCTATAACACTTTCAAAGACTATTTAAGATTCTAGAATGCTAGAGAAAAGGCTTAAAATATTTTTATAGCTCCCTCAGTGTCTAACTCTGTATCAAGTACATGGCTGGCTCAATAAGTGATAGCTAACACTTAGCATTGCACTTTCTACATGTCAGGCACTGTTGCGGGCACTTTATATGTAGTATTCATTTAATCCTCACAGTAATTGTATGACATAGGTATTATTACTATTGTCTGCCTTTTATGTGTGAGGAAACTGAGGCACAGCACAGTCAAATAACTTGCCTAGCAACAGGAGCCCCAGTCAGGATTGGCCTCAGCAGCCTGGGACCACGGAGTGCTATAAACCCAGACAGTACATGACCCTCCAACTGAATGTCCTTTATTCCCAAGAAATATCTGTTTTGCCTAAGGAGTGGATGGTTGTGTGCTCTGAAATAATCTATATATTTACTTTCTTCCTTAGGCCAGATGTGGCGAGGGCTAGGAAAAGAGTTTGTTGGGAGCCCTGGGTTATCGGCCTTGTCACCTTCATATCCCTGATTGTCCTGGCAGTGTGCATTGGACTCATTGTTCATTATGTGAGATATAGTAAGTATAAGCTGCCCTGGCATCATGTGATTTACCCCAAACATTTCCTCATACCTTCCTGTTTTCATTTGCCTCAGGCTTGTTCATTCATTACTAGGATTCATTTGCATAGCCTGGACAAAGAAATCTTTACCTGTTTTGTCTCTTATTTCGTCCTCATAAGTCACGGAGGATTCTTTTTTCTTTCTTTGATTTAGTGATGCTTCCTGCTGGGAACGGCATACTCATTTGCATCTTCCTTAATAAGCAGTAAGTGAATATTAATCAAGGATAGTTCACAGGATAGATAGAACCCAATGTGTTGAGTTGTTTGAGATCACAGGGCAATCACCTTGATTTAAAATAATTCTGGCCAGGCTCGGTGGCTCACTTCTGTAATTCCAGCACTTGGGGGGCTGAGGTGGGTGGACCACTTGAGGTCAGGAGTTTGAGACCAGGCTGACAAACATGGAGAAACTTTGTCTCTACTAAAAATAAATTTTAAAAAAGTAGCTGGATGTGATGGTGTGCACTTGCAATCTCAGCTCCTGTGGAGGCTGAGGCAGGAGAATTGCTTGAATCCAGGAGGCGGAGGTTGCAGGGAGTTGAAATTGCCCCACTGCACTCCAGCCTGGGCAACATAGCAGGACTCGGTCTCAAAAAGAAAAAAAAAACTCCAACTCATTGAAGTCCTGACATTCCAAAAGATCAATGACATAATCGAGGGTCATAAAAAGGTAGGCTCGATTCTATACCAATAAGTTAAGAAAATAGTCATAGTGATGTATTGTTGAATAAGTCCCTATTTATGTTATTAAAATCTCAGGGTGTATTTTAGGTGATTAAAGACGATAGGGTATGCTGAGAAAGCTAATTATAAGAAGTTCACTCTGCGGTTATCAGGTGCCTCATTGCTAGATGAACTGCTAGTTGCTATGTTATTAGAAAGGTCTCCAGGGTACTTCAGAACTGTTCTTCCAGGATATCACAACCCTTCTGAAGTTTCCTTCTACTCTGCCTTGGGTTTTAATTACTTGACTCAACTATGACCTGTTAGTTTAATATCTCCCTCTGTTACTGGATTATGCTTGGATGCTCAAGGTACTGTAATTATAGAAGCTAATCACTTGATTCCAATTTAATTGGGACCTTGTTGAAGTTGCTTTCCTGTAACAAGGAAGAGTAATCTATAAACTGGTTGTCTTCCCTACTATCCACGCAAGTGTGATCTCAATTTCCAAAGCAAGGTGGATCATTTCTGGATAGTTTAAAAAAATTTAAAACAAATATTTTTTTTTTGGTAGAATTTGCCTACAGGCAGGTCTTTAAATTTGGAATATCTGCGATTTAATAACGATTTTTCTGTAGCATACTTTATTATTTTTTGCAATGGAGTCTTACTCTGTTCCCAGGCTGGAGTACAGTGACTTGATCTTGGCTCACTGCAACTTCTGCCTCGTGGGTTAAAGCGATTTTTGTGCATCAGTCTCCCAAGTAGCTGAGGTTACAGGTGTGTGCCACCACACCCAGCTAATTTTTTGTATTTTTAGCAGAGACAGGGTTTCATTGTATTGGTCAGGCTGGTCTCGAACTCTGACCTCAAATGATCTTCCTGCCTTGGCTTCCCAAAGTGCTGGGATTACAGGTGTAAGCCACTGCTCCAGGCCTGTAGCACACTTTAAATAAATATGAATTGCTGAGATAACTTTATAGTTCTACAGTTCTGCTGAGTATATTGAGTCCTATTTTGTTGTAAGCATCATTATTTGTCCCCATGGATGCCTAGGACTGTTTTACACACTTTTTTCTATCTAGAATTTATTCAGAATCTTGGCACCTGTTAGTTGTTAAATGTTTATTTAATACCGAATGATTAAATTGAATGAATCATACCTACAGTATTTTCTTGGGCCACATTTTGGCTTGTCTGACTTCACAAGAAATACTTCGTAGTACTAGGTGCTAATCACCTCAGTGAGAGAAAATGTCCCTTACTACTTCTTTGCCTCTTCCTAAGCCAAGTTTTATAAGATTCATAATCTTACTCATATGTGTACAGTGAAAAGTTGGCAAGAATATTTTAGTAACCTATTCCTGAATCCTGTTGTTTGGATGATCAGTTGAGCAATATTGAACACACAGCTTCCACTGCCCACACAGTACACCTGAATAAACAGTGACTCTTGTGATGTGTGTTACTGTCTTCTACTGGTGACCTGCTTTCTGTTTTGGAACGTAAACTAACAGAGAGGTTTTGGCAGATGAACATTTAGGAGCTGAATGCCAAAATAATCAAACCAAAAACAATCTGTTACAGAAATAGACAGATACAGATAAAGGTAATCCGATTTGGAAAAACATCATTTTGATTCTCATTTCATAAAACTCAGGACAACATAGAATTCTATGTATGGTTTGTGTCTGGGACCTTTGGGGGGTACATTTCTGCCCCTTTGTGATTTGGATGTCAGAAGGTGAATCTGTTATAAGCAACATCATTGCAGATTATAGAATCACAAACCTGCTAGAAAATTACCAACAAACTCATGTTTATCCTTATTTTTAACTTTTCTCTTAATATTCCCAACATATTTTAGTCACTACTTGTACCATATATTTATGGAAGCTAGTAATATGTTTTAACAGTGACATGCTTACATCTACAAAGTAAAATATTGAGCACAGTTAATAGGTTGTATATTTGTTGAAAGCATATGAAATTGCCAAAATTTTGATCTGTAGTAATGACAATTTTAAATCAATCTAATAAGTCAAAAAACTACATTTAAGGGTATAGAAGGGTCTGTTACCATTTTGTCTAGAACCTTCCTATTTAACGTGTGATTAACTACCAGAAACATCAACATCACTTGGGAGCTTGTTAAAGAGGCAAACTCCTGAGTCTAACTTTAGATCTCATGTACCAGAATCTGCATTTTAACAGGCTCCCTAGGTGGTTCATCTTTACATTGAAGTTTGAAGCAGAATTCTAGAAGAATGGATACAACTACACAGAAAGTTATAGTTAACCATGAGGCAGATGTTAAAAAATACAAATGTAATAGAACAGTAGTTTACAGAGATAGTATGAGTTATTACCCAGTATTTCAATAAATTTAAAACCTTACTTGAAGTTACGTATATTTCCAGGTACCTGCCTGAATTTCATGTCATCCTGGCCATTCAGAGAAAGGGAGGTAAGGAAGGATGGAGGAAAAGCAAAACCTTCCAAGTCCTTTGCTTAGGTCTCTAATGCTCTGGAGACTGAACTTTCAGTGTCTCCAGCCTGCCATCCATTTTATTCATCATCAGTCCCTCCCCAGCCCTTGTCAGAGTCTGATAGCAGCTTCTCTCTCTGTCCCACCAAATCCTCTGGATGGCCAGCGTGTTTTCTTGAAACATACCAGTAGTTTTTTGCATAACTTTTATGTAATGAAAGACTTCTCCTCTAGCTTCAATAAGTGGCTTTTTTTTTTTTTTTTTCTACTCTAAGAAGCAGCATGTGAAATAAGTCTGTACTTTAGAAGTTAGTCCTGGCTATGTCATGTCGGGGTTGGGCAAATTATTTACATTTCCAAGACTGCAGTCTGCTAAATGTGGATAATATTGCCTTTTCATGGAGTTATTGTTAATTAAATGAGATACATGAATGCACTTGGGACACTGGTGTTCAGCGTTAGTTTCCTTTTCTTCTGGGGTTTAAGTGAAGAGGGAAAGAATAGGAAAGTAGGAGGAGAGATATGGTGATTGGATGAGCCACACTCTGCTTTCCTATAGTAGTAATATACGATTGTCTTGATCACCAATGAGTGTATTTCTTGACACAGTGTCTTTCACTGAAAAGTGGCTGACATTAATATTTGTTGAATGAATACATGAATTTTCTGAGGACTGTGTGCTTGCTTTGTGTACTAAAGGGTAGAGGAAAAGTTATGTGACATTAACTTTTCAGCAGGTCAAAAATGTAGGTTGCTTAAATTGCAATGCAGAAGGTAGAGACAGTGGCTAAAGAGTAGACAAGCCAACCCCTGTGGTTGGTGGGAAAAAAAATAAGTGAAGTGGCAAGGGAGCCAGGTGAAACTGAATAGTGTCCCTGGAAGGTTATGCCAGGTGGCAACTTTAGCTCGCTAAACTTCTATTTACGGAATCCCTTGCATTTTAATTTTTCATCTTCCTTTTCAGCCAAAATAAATTTTCTCAAACTAGAGTTCTTGTGGCCAGGATCGATGTGTGGTTGATAGAAGGAAAAAGAAAATCTACATTTGGAGTATAAAAATGCAGTGACCCTTGGAAGGCTTCTGAATCTATCTCATTTTGTGCGCTCAGATGGCGTGACTTGCTCTCGCTTGTGGCTTACTTAGGAATGAATAGCATGTGAATAATCAGCACACTGCTCCAATGAGGTACTTGTACAATACTCCAGGAACACCAGGCATTTCTTACAGCTTTCATACTCTAAATCACATGATGATAAATGTTGTTGTCTTTTATCCTGCGATAACTATGAAGCCTGGGGCAGGATGATGATGATGACCTGACTAGGAGCATTCCTTCCTGTTTCAGTCTTCTAGCAACCATCAACTGGGGAAATAATGATGCTTTAAACACATCTGATAAAAATTATGATAGGATTTTGCCTCTTTCATTGTAGATCAAAGGAAGACCTACAATTACTATAGCACATTGTCATTTACAACTGACAAATTATATGCTGAGTTTGGCAGAGAGGCTTCTAACAATTTTACAGAAATGAGCCAGAGACTTGAATTAATGGTAAGCAATTTTTCATCCACTTCTAGTGCATTTGTTGTCACTTTTTACCATATTTTTAAGCATCCTAGCTTCTAAAATATCCATTCAACTAACTGATCCCTGTGTATTTGCAAAATGAAAAGAGACCCTAACGCAAGGAATATAAAACAAAACAGTTGATACATCACTTAGCAGAATATGCCTCACAGGGATGAACCAAAGAAACTTTAGCTCTTCAGTCAAGTCCTTCTTACTCACCTTTCCTTAGCTGGTGCTATACTCTTTATCAGCAGAGTCCAGAAATTCTGGAAATGTTAGCGTGACCTAAAATATATTTGTTGCATCCTAGACTTTCTAAAAAATAGGCTCTGAGCAAAAGATTGCCAAGATTGAAATTATTTAGGCACATACCTAAATAGTCTGTTAGTTTTTTAAAACAGCTAACCTTCGATCAGCTTTTGGTACATACATCTGTAGTGAATCCAAAGATAGGCAACTCTACCCTTAACACATCAACGTTCATCCTAAGGGATCAATCAAATACTTAAGAAACTGGAAAAATGAGCACCATGGACCAAAAAACCAAGCACCTGAGTGGTAACTTCTTGTCATTATCAGATTAATTAAAGGAAAATTTAATTAACTTTTTCTGGTAATCTGTGAAGTAACTCATGGTATAATGTGATGGAAAGAACACTGAGCGGGGACATGTAGCTCCAGTGGTATCTGCTAACTATTGATACATCACGTGGAATTTCACTTTATCATTCTGGACAAACTTCCTTATATGAAAATTAAGCTTTTAGATTAGATAATTTCCAAATTATCTTCCAGTTTCAGTAACCTGAATAAGAATGGAAGTAACGCCCTGGAAATTGCCCAGTAGACAGAAGCCTGGGGATTTGGCCACCTTGCTGAGACAGAAGTTGAATCCTGTTTACATTTGCACTTGTGAACACCCAATCAGGGAAATATTTGAATAAGCTCTTCTCTAAGGCTAAATACATATGCAAAATGAAGGAAATGAAATGGAACTAAAAAGATCAAGAAGAGATGTCACTATTTCCCTTGTTTTTTCGTGCCATTTCATCAAATAAATTTTATTTAAGTAAATAAAATCCAGACAGATTTAAATCTAAAGGAATTTACATAGGACTCTTTAATGCCTTTAAAATTAATAATAGTTTTTAAGCTACTGGACAAGAATTAACCCTTAAATAAAAATTTTCCTGTGAATATTGTCATCCTATGCAGAGGACTTGTACTATTCTCCTTTGTCTCATAATTTCAGGAATTGCCCTTGGATAAAAAAATTCAGGAGTTAATAAAATGTAAGAAAGAATAAAAAGGCTCATTGCTTGTATTAATCACCAGCATGTAGTAAGTGTTTAGTACATATCCACATACTGAAAACAAGAAACTCTTGAAGTGTTTCCTTACATAAACTTCTAATTAAAATATTAAGTTGCCTAGAATTCTTATTTAGAATAACAACAAATGTCTCTGCAAAATAGATTCATTCACTTTAGTAGAGTAAAACTGATAGATGTGTTAGGCTAAGTATCCCAGTTCACCTGGGCCTTTCTAAGAGCATTTGAGTGCTGAACTGGTTGTACATTATGCTAGGATAATGGCAACTTTATCACTAGGTTTGGGAAGTATTTGACATGGTCATGCACTCATTCCTATGATCCAAGTATTATGTGCCAGAATTGTTTCATTTCCTTTGTCTATGTGCAGTAAAAGTCCTTATCTCAGGGTAAAAATGCTCACTCTTAATTTTGAAGAAACAGCATGTTCATTTTCTTTGGTCTCTTTCTGAGCATTAGTACAGCGGGTGGTACTTCTGGGCCCACTGAGGTTCCCTACTCCTATCATTCCTAAGACAGAGTTCAGTTGGAATCACTGAGAAAACCACAACAGATTCCTCAGGCTACCTCAAGTTCAGCTCACTGTGAAATGTCAATGTTTTTTGTTGTGTTTTGTTTTTTAATTTTCTAAAAATCTTTAAATTAATTTGTGGAATTTCAGAAAGTTGTTCTTGCTGACATATTTTGAATATTTTTCAAACAGGTGAGAAACGCATTTTATAAAACTCCATTAAGGGGAGAATTTGTCAAGTCTCAGGTTATCAAGTTCAGGTATGTAAATCTGAATTGCTGACTTCTGAATTTTAAGTTGAAGCTGTTAATCTGATGAGCAATAAATATGGTTTGAAGAGCTAAAGATATAATTCAATTTAACAAACATTTGACACTTGTCCTGTGTAAGTCATGGGCTACAAAGTCCCTTATTCATTCTTTAAATCCCAAAGTAAGCATTTGCAAGATGATTGCCAGGGACAGAGGAATAATTGGTGCCTATGCTATAAAATTGTTTTCTGGGAAACTTACTAAGTATAGATAGGGACCTAACGCACATCTTTGGTTTAATGGTAAGTAGTGCCCCATGTAAAACAGTACAGCAGATCAAGCTTGTTTTTAGCTCTTCTTTCTCTTACTAATGAATTTTCTTTACTTTCTTCTATTCCACCCCTCTATTTTCTTTACTTTCTTCTATTCCACCCCTCTATTCTGTAGCTAAGAAGATTTCATCTGTTAAGCAACCATTGATAAATAGGTTTAGAACATAATATTAAGAAAAATATTATATAAGAATTTTCAATAAGATATTGCCATGATACAAATTATTTGTATTTTAAAAAATACAATAAGAACTATTTCCAATGACAAAATTCTAAAAGTTTCCTGCCATTCTATTACTTAGCTGATATCTCTAAGGCATTACTTCAATTGCTGTCTTCTAAAAATTCTGTACTCTAGGTTGTTTGAGATTGTACCCTTTTTTGGGTCTGCAACTACTTCTGTCATCCTTAAATTTAACCTCTAAGGGGACTTCATTCACTCACATGGCCTCATATGCTATTGAAATGCAAGTTTCTATCTCCAGTCTGAACTATTTTTCTGATTTCTATAACTGTATACACATCTCCATGTGGAAGTTCACAGAAAATTCCCTAACTCAGGGAGAATCCAATTACAAAAGTGAGAAACCTAGAAGTCACCAAACACTCCTTCCTTTCCTGGGCCCCTTACACTTTATGAATAACTAAGTTCTACTAATTCTATTTTCCCAATCCCATTTAATTTGCTTACCTCTGTATTCCAGTAATCTTGCTACTCATTATTACATCTTCTGTTACTGCAATAGTGAGAAGAGCAAGTGTATTGGAAAGATGAAGCCAATTTTGGAGATGTTAAATTTACATACTAAAGGACCATATGAACCTGAAAAATGAGTGTGACTTGGTAGAAGAAAATGGAACTGAGCAGAAGATAGAAATTTACTCATGATCAACCCAAATTTTGAAAGCATGGGTGCAAATTTATCAGAGAAAATATAATGAAAGGGAATGAAAAGGACAATAAAGAAAGCTTGAAGAACAACAACATTTAAGGAGACGGAAGGAATATAGGAACCTAAGATGCAGGGAAAGAGTAGGAAAATAGAAAAATCATGACAGAGGCACCACTGATGCAAAAGATAAAGATTTCAAAGACAGTGTGGTCTGCATTGACAAATACTCCTTACTGAGTAATATAAGTACTGAAAAGAATCCACTGGCTATGTCAACTAGGATACTTGCGTTGTTATTTATTTTCCTGTCTTGAAAACAGTGCTACAATTAACATGTTTATAGGTATGTCATTACACAAATGCATGAGCACATTTGAATATTTAATTTCTAGTGGAAATGCTGTTAGAGAAGACAGGTTCAAACTTCTAATAGTTAAAATACTGCCCTCCAAAAATAAGATTCTAATTTATATTCCCACTTCCAGCTAATGAGAATAGTGGTTGATGCATTATACAGTGAAGGGTAAGATTCTTTCAGAACTGACTATGAAAAAGAGTGGGTAAAGTAGCTGGCAGAATGATTCCAAGGTAATAATTCATACAAATAGCATTAAGATTAATTAATACTCTGCGTTGAAAACAGAGTCGCATGAAGTCAGTACAATTTGGTAAAGCATTCTAATATCTTTAGGATTAGGAGTTGTTTAGGATAGCCTGAAGATTGTTTAGAGGAGGTAAGTAGACTTGCGTCACAAGAATAAAACCTGAAAGCCAAAACCATAATTGGTTTCATATTTAAGGCACATTGTATTTGTTAATTTTGAATGGTTGACAAGGTGTCTCTTTATATTAATAGCTATTAGACTATTAATAGTACTATTAATAGACTATCTAGACTATTAATAGTCTAGTAGCTATTAATATAAAGACCATTAATAGTACTAGACTGTACTTAACTAGACCTTTTGATGATAAGAGAGACCATGAACAGATTAGCTCACTATAAGAGAGGCTGAATTTATGGTTCTTCACATAGTAAACAGTAGCAATATAGAAGGAAACATTTATGGATTTATTTTATGTGTGCATTTTATATAAGTGATAAAGAAAAAAGCAGATTATGATATTACATATTGCTCTTCTTTTCTTTTTTTGTTTTCATCCTTCCCTCCTTCTCTCCCTCCCTTCCTTCCTTCTTTCCTTTTCTCTTTTCTTTCTTTCCACCCTCCCTTCTTTCCTCACTTTCTTCCTCCCTCCCTTCCTTCTTGCCTTTTTTCTTCCTTTCTTTTCTGTGTTTCTTTCTCTTTTTTTTGGCCCATAGTCAACAGAAACATGGAGTGTTGGCTCATATGCTGTTGATTTGTAGATTTCGCTCTACTGAGGATCCTGAAACTGTAAATAAAATTGTTCAACGTGTTTTACATGAAAAGCTGCAAGATGCTACAGGACCCCCTAAAGTAGATCCTGCATCAGTTAAAATTAAAAGTAAGTTAATTTATCTTATTTATTTATTTTTCATAGAACAGTTTCAAGTTAGGTTTGATCTTGGCACTCATTAAAAATTTTATTTTTGCTGTCCTTTATTTCTGGGGTCTTGCCATCAACAGTATATTTCTTTGGAACTAAATTGGTCCTAATAAAGTATTTTAATTTCTAAAACTACCCTAAACTTAGGCCTCCCATGCAAGCTTTTTATTAACTCCTGAGCAGTTTTCTTTATATTACACTTTATACTTGGGCTATAGAATCCAATTATTAATGAAGAAAGTGACTTTGTATTTTCCCCTTCTTTTTCTTGTTGCTTTCATTTTATGTTCTGAGTGTATGGTATATGGAAAGGTTCATGCCATTTACACATTTGTTTACAAATCTCATTAATAAACCTTATTATATTTTCTTCCCTCAAATTTTTCACCAGTGAAACATTTATAATAAACTTATATGGTATATTTACAACTATAAGTGAAAAATTTAGGTAGATTTTTGTTGTTCTTGTTGTTATTGTTTGTAGGGCCACATAGGACAAAACAAATGATGTTAGGTCCTCACAATTAGAAAATGAGAAATATGAGATCCTCAGTGGAAATTAAGGCCTGGCTAAGGGCTGGGTCATATGTTCTAGAACAGTGCAGGTCTATAGAAATACTATGTGGGCATAAGTATACTGTTACATTTTCTAGAAGTTACATTAAAAATAAAAATAAACATGTAAAATTAATTTCAATAATTTGTATATTCAATCCAATATGTCCAAAGTATTATCATTTAAACAAATAGTCAATGTAGAAATTATTTATCAAATATTTTACATTTTTTGTAGTAAGACTACAAATATATAGTGTAAATTTTATATCGATAGTACATTTCATTTTAGACTAGCCACACTGCAAGAGCTTACTGCCACATGTGGCTAGAGGATACAGTAATGGATACGGCAGCACTGGAAACTAGAGAACGGGGACAAGAAGAGAGAAAGAATACAAAGTGCTAATACAAAATCTGATAGATCTAAGTAGTTGCCTAAAATGGGCCAACCAACCCACTTGCTTAGGAAGGAGGCTTCAGTAGTTAGGGACAGACACATAATTTATGCACCCTAGCATAAAATGAAAATGCTAGACCATTTTTCAAAAAACAAGAAAAAAGTGCTGTTAAAAGTACAAAAATCTAAAACTTTTCTTACTTTCCTGATCTCTCTCTTGGCTTTTCATGATGTTTTCTTTCTTTCTTTCTTTTTTTGAGACAGTCTTGCTCTGTCATCCAGGCTGGAGTGCAGTGCCACAATCTTGGCTATCACTGCAACCTCCACCTCCTGGGTTCAAACGATTCTCCTGCCTCAGCTGCTTGAGTAGCTGGAACTACAGGTGCGAGCCACCATGCCCAGCTAATTTTTGTATTTTAAGTAGAGACGGGATTTTATCCTATTGGTCAGGTTGATCTTGAACTCCTGACCTTGTGATCCCCCTGCCTCGGTCTCCCAAAGTGCTGGGATCACAGGCCTGAGCCACCGCTCCCGGTCTCATGCTGTTTTCATTTGCTGATTATTGTCATTCTAAGAGAAAAAAATAAATTTGCAAATTACTGAGTTTAACTGTTTCTATCACGCAGTGTCTATTTAAATGCATTATAAGTACATTTAACTTGTATTTCAAATCATGGAAATTATGCAACTATATTTCATAGCTTATACATACATGTTTTTCATTTTTGTCAGACCAATGGAAATAGTACAAAAGGCTAAGACCTCTTTTTATTTTCCTGGTTGACATGAGCAAATTCTACCAACACTCTCTACCTTCAGCTTATTGAGGTGTGAGGAAGGACTAGAAGGAAAAGGATATCTGGGTTTCCCTATCTTTCTCTTTCTATGCTATTATTTTCAGCAAAAGCTGTTGGCCAATACACAGAAGTAACAGAAGCAAGAAAGGATATGACAGTATCTTTTGTGCATTTGTGTTTATTAGAATGCCATTGCCTTTTCTCTGGGTTCTAAGCAAGTTTTGGTTCAAACAGAAAACATGGTATCCAGGAGATGTCAGTGCGCCTCTGCTTACTTAGTGGAAGGGATGGCACACTTACCTTCCTGTACTTGCTTTGAGTTTTGCTGAACCCCTGTTCATTGTGGGTCCACTAGAATTCTAATTTCACAGGGAATTGTGAATGATATATGCAAATGGGGTGAAAGAAACCATGGACACACTTATTGTACATATCTTCTCTGCTCACACTATAATTTACTATCCTATTAAACTTAATATTCAAAACACAAGTTACAAGATAAAATCACTAAGAATGTTAAGTGAGCAACAACAGAACATTGTACCAAGCACAAGGCCATTGTGAGAGTGCCACCCAGTGCAGATGTATAAGCCACTCATGAAGCCAACCTTGTCAGTAGTATCAATACGCAAAGCTTGAAATTCTCCTAGGAAGAGCTTGAGGTAGAGAACAGGCTATTTAAAACAAGAGATCAGAGGTGGTCCTTTTAATATTAACCAATAATAAGTTGTAAATTTTTCCTTATTTTTGCCATTTTCCCCACAAGTAGCCAGAATAAATGAAGTCAGAAAGAAGGCTTTCTAGAATATAGATTTCCACTTCATTCATACTATTAAATACTAAAGAGAAAATTAACATTAATATTTTTGCTTTTAGAGTGTCTATCCTTCTACATACAGAAAATAGTTTTGGTCATTAGAACTCTGCTGAGTCAGGAAGTTTGAGTTTAGAGTTTTATATACGTATTGGCTAGGTTAGTGTTTGCACAGAGTTTGAGAGTGACTAGTGAGAAGTCAACAAACTAAGGGGTCATTGGCTGGAGCTGAATGACAATTTGAGGGCAGACTGTATTTCCGAAATCTTAGCAGAAAGAAGACTTCAAAAGGGTAATGCTGTTTTTAACTATGAGTACAAATTTATGGAGCTGCTACTCAGGTAAATGGGACTATGCTTAGAAGCTTAATAATGTAATCTGAAATAATGGTTAATAAAAGTATTATTACATTTGGAGAATCAATACTATGGTTTAGAGCAGCAGTATATCCCATGGAGGGGCTGTGGACTACCTGCATCTTATTTACTGATATAAAATCTGTATTCTTGAGCTTCAACACAAAACTACTGAATTAGAGTTACTGGGAAGAGAAATAGGAGTTTACATTATAAATCTGCTCCCTATGTGACTCTTACCTCATTAAAGTTTAACACACGTTTCACATGCTCTCCAATGTGATGATTATACTATGTCTATGACAAACTTACTGTGTTGCTTTCTTTATATTCTCTAGATCCTGTTTTATAATAAAATCAAACAGTCTTTTAGTATTTGAAATACTTGGAGGCATAGTGTAATTTTGGTGTGCTGATCCTATTCTATTTACCATTTCTGTGTATTTCAGAAATCAACAAGACAGAAACAGACAACTATCTGAACCTTTGTAAGTTTAATATATTTTTCAAATGGCATTACATGAATGTAAAAAGTGAACACTATATGTCATTTAGGTTTACTTTGTGTTGATATTATAGGGGCAGAACAGATAAAGTTTGATGAATTTGTGTACAGTTCATGGTGCTTTATCATATCTTGGAGACACACTTTATTAGTAAGGAAGAGCAAAATTGAAATAACTTCCGAGTGGATGTATGAGAGTCTGCGGCAGTTGTGTAGTGGAAGTGAGTTGTATAGCTGTTAAAGAAGAGGCGCGAAATGTTTACTTATCAATATTCTGTTTGTAGGTATCTATAAGGTAAAACAAATCTATATGTTGTGTTTTCCAGCTAGAGGCAGAAACTTATTGTCACTATATCCTAGATAAAATCTTCTTGATGTTATTAATCCTATGTCATGGAAAGTGCAGGAAATTATTGGGTTGGGGTATATTTTAATAAAATTACTGAAGAAAATAGATCATATCATCACCTATATTTTGAAACTGCTGACTCTAGGCCTGGTACTTTTCTTTTCCTATAGCCGAGAACCCCACCGGGATCTACAGTATACATTCCATAGTTATGGGATTGTTGCACATTACATTTCTCTTAAAAAGTGGAAGAAAATGTGCTACTTAGCAGCTCATATAGTTGTTTAATTTCTAAAATTAACTAAACACAAAACCAAAAGATAATCTTATTACATAAATAGCATATACTCTTGACACCGATATTTACTAGGAACGGACTACGTGCTAGCACTGTGTTAGGCAACAGGAATTCAAAATGGATAAGATATACTCTACCTAAAGCACCTCATACTCTAATGGGACTACATGCATGAGACTAATTTGTGAACACATCATTCTTAAACAACTGTTCTTAACTAAGAGAAATGTTGTTGGCCAATCTATCATGCCCCACTGTGGCATTTTTGTCATGAATATAGGGGAGTGCTACTGGCATCTACTATATGTAGGCCAAGATATTATGGTGCACAAGACAGCCCCTATGACAAAGAAGCAAACGGTTCAACATGTTGGTGGTACCAAGTTTGAGGAACCCTGTCATAAACAATGCCGATATGTATATACACATAAGCACACACACACAGTGTGTTTGTTATACACATAGACATGCACACAGAGTTTTTTTTTTTTTTAAATCATTATTTTGGAAGCACCAAGAAAATCATAACTAATCCAGATTGGAGACAGAGGAGTCAGAGAAAGCATCCTAGAAGAGGTAATAACTGATATAAATTTTACAAAACGAATAGGAGTTACTGATACTATTGGAGCACAAAGTAGAAGAAATTTGGGACATAGTAACGCAATTTGATGCTTAAAACAGCTGCTAATTAATGCACCCACCAATGTACTCCCCCTCATCTGCCCTCTTTTGCAGGCTGTGGAACACGAAGAAGTAAATATCCAGGTCAGAGTCTTAGAATCGTTGGTGGCACAGAAGCAGAAGAGGGTGAATGGCCCTGGCAAGCTAGCCTGCAGTGGGATGGGAGCCACCGCTGTGGAGCAACCTTAATTAATGCCACATGGCTTGTGAGTGCTGCTCACTGCTTTACAACGTAAGTCTTGAACCTTGAGAATGATTGGGAGTGAACAAAGTGCACTGGTTTTGGCAAGAAAATACCTCGTTAATTTTGGGAGATATGAGTTTAGCATAAATTAAAAATAATGTGTATAATTTTATAAATGAAAAATTTATAAATGTTAGTAAGACGTTTTAAAGTCTGGAAATTGAAATGGAATAAAAATATATGTAAATAAATAATCTTTTGATAAATAAACAATAGTTTCTCAAAGACAGCAAAAATTTTAAAGTCATTTTTGGACTTTGAATTTGATGTCAAACAGAAGTGCTCTATCTCTCTGCTGAGTATCTGAATCAAAGATGGAATCTGGATAGGTTGTAGGTCTGACCCTAAGGTGGATACCTCACATGGTAAGAAAAAGAATTAAATATGAAGAATTAGAAGAATTATATAACGACAATATGAAGAATTTGGAAATAGCAAATTGTACAAACGAATAGATTGACTAATTGTATTGCAAGTGTCCATAGCATATAAAATAGTAATACTTTGTTAAATTATTGTGTGGCCTTTATGGCTTTCAGAGAAATCTGTATATTTGTGGGTGGGGCACATGAAGCACATAGAATATATTCATTTCTCTCATTATGTACCAGGTACTTTCCATAGGTCCTTGGAGTCACTGATATCCAGAAATATCAAAAAGCCCTAGAATTTGGAATGGATGACTTGGCTATGGAGTGGCATTTATATTATAGGAAATGGTGGCTTTTTCACCTGGTCAGACCCCTGAGCCTTATTCTCAAATTGGAAAGAGTTCTATTCATAGAAACTGTAAAAAGAAAGAAAAAATCTACACCTGTAGACTAAATTATTTAATATAAATTATTAGACTGGTAGAATTGGTAAAAGACATTTATTCTTCATTTTTTTTTCTCCCCAGATATAAGGACCCTGCCAGATGGATTGCTTCCTTTGGAGTAACAATAAAACCTTCAAAAATAAAACGTGGTCTACGCAGAATAATTGTCCATGAAAAATACAAACACTCAACACATGACTATGATATTTCACTTGCAGAGCTTTCTAGACCTGTTCCTTACACAAATGCAGTACATAGAGTTTGTCTCCCTGATGCATCCTATGAGTTTCGCCCAGGTGATGTGGTGTTTGTGACAGGATTTGGAGCACTGCAAAATGATGGTGAGCATCTGAAGAGAAACTCAAGTCAAAGCTAAATTGATATTTTATGGCATTTAAAGAATGAAATGCCATTATGCCAAAATATGTTAGTTGTTTTGTCATGTGACCTGGGCCAACTAAAAGTGAAGTAAGTAACTTAGAAGACATAAAAATTCCTTCCTGCCTAAATTAATATCAAGTAATTTGCTGCTACTACAGTCATAGTACTGCTAAGATATCTGAAAATACAAATACATCTCATAGCCATGAATTTTTCTTTGAGAATTTACCACTTACCCAATTCTGAAAATTGGAGAATCATAAAGCCACCATTCTCCCCTACTGAAATTTCCTTCTAGTCTTAACAATGGAACGTACATTATTTAAATAACTTTTGGTCCTTTCCTAGGCACTTAATGTTTTACTTAAAGTAGTTAGGAACAAATTATCTTCCCAAATATTACTGTTCTAAAAATATGTATTCTAAGATTCTGTATTGCCTTTTTTTTTTCTTTTCCCTTTTTCCTTTTTGAGACAGAGTCTTGCTGTTGTTGTCCAGGCTGGAGTGAAATGGTGCAATCTCGGCGTAACTTTTCTATTTTTAGTAGAGACGCGGTTTCACCATGTTGGCCAGGCTGACCTCAAAACTCTTGACCTCAGGTGATCCACCACCTCAGCCTCCCAAAGTGCTGGGATTACAGGCATGAATCACCATACCCAGCCTGTATCACCGTCTTATTTATAGTTATGAACACTTGCTTAAGGTTTATAAAATATGTGTATGTCTACAAATACAAAGACTTCTTTTTCTTTTAGGCACCAGTCAAAATCATCTTCGACAAGCACAGGTGACTCTCATAGACACTGCAACTTGCAACGAACCTCAAGCTTACAATGGTGCCATAACTCCTAGAATGTTATGTGCTGGCTCCTTAAAAGGAAAAAGAGATGCATGCCAGGTGAAGGGTTTTGCCTATTAGTATGCTGTGTAATTTGTTGTTTACTTTTCTTTGAAATAATTTTATATTTACAGGAATTTGCAAAGGTAGTACAGAGGAGTTACAACCTCTCACCCAGTTTTCTCCAATGATTACATCTCACATAACTATAGTTCAATATAAGATCTGGGAAACTGACAGTGCTGCAAAGTATATGTCTAATTCTATGGCATTTTATCACATCTGTAGATTTGTGTAACCACCACTATAGTTAAGATGGAGAACTATTCTATCACCACAAAGATCTACCTCAAGGGTAACACTTTTTTTCCCTCCTACTATCTCTAACATCTGGCAATCACTAATTTATTCTCTGTCTCTGTAAGATTGTAATTTTCAAAATGTTGTATAAATAGAACAACAGTATCTTTTTAAACAGAAACTAATTTTGAGTAATCCATTGGTATTTTTGGCTTTTTTTGGTAGAAAAATTTTAGTGATACCTCTAAGTTACATAGATGTGTGTACAAATATATATTTATTTATATATCCCTACATAACTTATCACTGTGTATGTGTATTGAAATTTTACTAGTTTTGGTGGAGTATGGAATAGAAAACTCACTTCCCCTTAAATCCCTGTACTCTTCCCTCTTTAATATTAAATATTAATAAATATAAACATTAAATAATAATATAAATATTAAATATTTGCTTTATATTTTGAGAACCACAGAAGACAATGTTTTGTTTCAACTGTCAAATGTAATTTAGAAAACATAAGAGGAAAAGGAAAGACTATTTGCCTATAGACTTGTTGTTTACTCTTTCCTGATTCCTTTTTTAAAAAATGTCATTTCTGTTTTAGGAATTTCCTTTAGCCACTCTTTTAGTAGAGGTATGCTGGTGAAAAATTCTCTTAGATTTTCTTTGTATCCAAGAGTCTTTATTTCTTCTTCATAACTGAAGCATAATTTTACAATTTGGCACTGACAGTTTTCTTTCAGCACTTAAATTGTTTCCTCTGTGATTTATGCAAGGAATTTGCTGCTATTGGAATCATTTTGTTTCTCCCCAATAGATGAGGTGTCATTTCTCTCTTGCTGTGTTCAAGATTTTTCTTTGTTTTTAGTTTTCAGAAGTTTGACTATGTGTCTTGGCTTGGATTTCTTTGAGTTTATCCTGTTTGAGGTTTGCTCAGTTTTTTGAATATGGAGGTTTATATCCTTTGTCAAGTTTGAGAAATTTTCCGTCATTATTTCTTAAAATACGTTTTCAGTCCCACCTTCTTTCTTCTTACCTTCTAACCACAGCAATGTTTATTTTGTATTATAGTTCCAGAGCTTCTTAACCTTCTGTTTATTTTTTTTTTCCACTCTATTTTCTCTCTGTTGTTCAGATTGGGTAATTTCTATCAATTTATCTTCATGTTTAGTGATTCTTTTCTCTGTCTCCTCTATTCTTCTGTTAAGCCCATCTAGTGAGGTTTGAATTTTGCTTATCGTATTTTTTAGTTCCAGGGTTTTTCTTTGATTCTTCTTTTTGTATTTACTATTTCTTTGTTGACACTTCCTATTTCTTTTCATTTGTTTTAAACATGGTGGTAATCAGTCATTGAGATATATTTATGATTGCTGCTTTAAAATCTTTATCAAATAATTTAAACATTTGTGTTATCTCAGTGTTGGTATCTGTTGATTGCCTTTTCTCATTCAAGTTAAAACTTCTTCTGTTTCTTTGTATGATGAGTGATGTTCAAATATATCCTGGGCATCTGATTATTATTTTTTCTGTTTTTGTTATTGTTGTTGTTATATCAGGCTTTGAAATTTATATTATTTTATTTAATTACTTTCTTTCCTCAAGCTTTTATTTTAGGCTCGGAGGTTATACCTGCACAAATGTTTCATGGGTAAATTGTGTGTTGCTGGGGTTTGGTGTACAAATTATTTCATCATGCAAGTAGTAAGCATAGTAACCAATAGGTGGTTTTTGTCCTTGCCCTCCCTTCTCCCATCCTCAATCCTCAAGTAAGCCCCAGTATATATTATTCCTCTCTTTGTGTCCTTATGTACTCAATGTTTAGCTTCCACTTATAAGTGAGAACATGAGGTATTTGGTTTTCTGTTCCTGCGTTCATTTGCTTAGGGTAATGGCCTGTGGCTGCACCCATATTACTGCAAAAAAACATGGTTTCATTTTTATGGCTCCATAGGATTCCATGGTCTACATGTACTGTATTTTCTGTGTCAACAGTGGACTCACTGTTGAGAGGCATCTAGGTTGATTCCACGTCTATTGTGAAAATTGCTGCTATAAACATGCATGCATGTGCCTTTATGGCAGAATGATTGGTATTCCTTTGGATATAATATACCCAGTAATGGGATTGCTGGGTCAAATGGTAGTTATGTTTTAAGTTCTTTGAGAAATCTCCAAACTGCTTTCCAAGTGACTGAACTAATTTACATTCCCATCATCAGTGTATAAGCATTCCCTTTTCTCCACAACCTCAACAACATTAAAAAACATTATTAAAAAGTTTTTTGACTTCTTAGTAATAGCCATTCTGACTGGTTTGGGACAGTATCTTATTTTGGTTTTACTTTGCATTTCCCTAATAATTAGTGAAATTGAATATTTGTTGGCTGCTTGTATGTCTTCTTTTGAGAAGTATCTGTTCTTGCCTGTATACCGCTGTAAACAAAATACCTGGACTGGGCATGGTGGCTCATGCCTGTAATCTCAGCACTTTGGCAGGCCAAGGTAGATGGATCACCAGAGCTCAGAAATTTGAGACCAGCTTGGGCAACATGGTGACATCCTGCCTCTGCTAAAAATAAAAACACTATCCAGTGAGGTGGTGTGAGCCTATAGTCCCAAATACTTGGAAGTTCTGAGGCAAGATGATTGGTTGAACCCAGGAATTTGAGGTTGCAGTGAGCTATAATCACACCACTGCACTCCAGCCTGCGTGACAGAGCAAGACCCTGTTTCAAAAAAAAAAAAACAAAAAAACCCAATATTAGGTAATTAATAAAGCAAAAAGATGGTTTAATTGGCTCATGATTCTGCAGTCTTTACGGGCAGCTTGGTGCTGGCATCAAGCTGGCATCTGCTCAGTTTCTAGGGAGGAAGCGTATAATCATATCAGAAGGTGAAGTGTGAAATGGGAGGGAGCAGATACATCACATGGCGAAAGCAGGAACAAAAGGGATAGGGTGGTAGGGGAGGTACTGCATACTTTTAAACAACCAGATCTCACAAAAGCTCCCTCACTATTGTAAAGATAAGTCCAAGTCATGAGGGATCTGCTCCCATGACCCAAATACCTCCCACCAGGTCCTACCATCAACATTGGGGATGACAATGCCACATGAGATTTGGGTGAGGACAAAGAACCAAATTTTATCATTCTGCTCTTGGCCTCTCCCAAATCTCAGGTCTTCTCACATTTCAAAACACAATTATGCCTTCTAACAGTCCCCAAAAGTGTTAACTCATTCCAGCTTTAACTCAAAAGTTCAAAGTTGGCCAGATGCCGTGGCTCACCCCTATAATCCCAGCATTTTGGAAGGTCGAGGTGGGTGGATTTCTTGAGTCCAGGAGTTTGAGTCCAGCCTGGGCAATGTGGCAAAACTGCATCTCTACAAAAAATAAAAAAATTAGCTGGACTTTGTTTTGTATGCCTATAGTTCCAGCTATTTGGGAGGCTGAGGTGGGAGGATTGATTAAGCTTGGAAGGTTGAGGCTGCAGTGAGCCATGATTGCATCACTGCACTCCAGCTTGGGTGACAGAGAGAGACTTCATCTTGGAAAAAAATGAAAAAATAACCCAAAGTCCAGAGTCTCATCTGAGATAAGGCAATTCCCTTATACCTCATCAATCTGAATTTCACTGTCCATATAACTATTAGCATTTTGGTCACAACCATTTAACCAGTCTCTAAGAAATTTCAAACTTTATCATTCTGTCTTCTTCTGAGCCTTCCAAATTCTTCAATTTTTTTTTTTTTGCCTCTTATCCAGTTGCCAAGTCACTTTCACATTTTCAGATATCTTTAAAACAACGCCCCACTCATGGGTACCAATTTTCTGTGTTAGGTTGTTCTTGCATTGCTATTAAGGACTATCTGAGGCTGGATAATTTATAAGAAAAGAGGCTTAATTGACTCATGGCTTTTCAGACTTTATAGTAAGCATGATGCCGGCATTAACTTGGCTCCTAGGGAGGCATCAGGAAGCTTATAATCATGGTGGGAGGTGAAAGGGCAGCAGGTATATCACATGGTGAAAGCAGGAGCAAGAGAGAGAGACTGTGGCAAGGTGCCACACACTTTTAACCAGATACTGTGAGAACTCAGTTGCTATTGCAAAGACAGCACTATGCCATCAGGAATATGTTACCCAAACCACTCCCACCAGGCCTCACCTCCAGCAATGGAGATTAAACTTCAACATGAGCTTTGGGAGGGGACAAATATTCTAACTATATCTATTTTTTTCCTCATTTTTTAAAGGAGTTTTTTGTTTGTTTGTTTGTTTGTTGATTTGTTTAAGATTCCTTATAGATTCTGGACATTGGACCTTTGCCAGGTGCATAGTTTGCAAATATTTTCTCTTATTCTGTAGGTTGTCTGTTTACTCTGTTAATAGTTTCTTTTGCTGTGCAGAAGCTCTTTAGTTTAATTAGGCCCAAGTTATTAATTTTTGTTTTAGTTGTAATTGCTTTTAGGGTCTTTGTCATAAAATCTTTGTTAAGACTGATGCCCAGAATGGTAGTTCCTAGATTTTCTTCTAGAGTTTTAATAATTTTAGTTTTTATGGTTAAGTATTTCATCCATCTCAAGTTGATTTTTGTATATGGTGAAAGCAAGGGGTTCAATTTTAATCTTCTGCATATGGCTAGCCAGTTATCCCAGCAACATTTATTGAGTAGGGAGTCCTTTCCTCATTTCTTGTTATTGTCAGCTATGTCAAAGATAAGATGGTTGTAGATGTGCAGCTTTACTTCTGGCTTC